CCCATCTGGTACCTCCGTCTTTATGGAAAGTCCACATGGGTAGGTCATGTTCATCAATCCATTCCGCACCTTTAGGACATAATTCACGGATTTTCTGAATTTTCTCCTTGAATTTCTTCTCTTGGTAAGCAACAGCTAAGGACCATCAGAGAAAAGTCTTAAGTTAATGTAAATTTCATTTCAATAATTAAAAGAAATATAGACACACTTGTTAGACTCTTAGTAGAGGTATACATCTCCTTAGAGACACAGCCCCTTTGACATAAAAAGGGGGGATCCAAAGATCTCTTAATACCCGATTTTCCCAGAAAATGGGAGGATCATTATAATCGCTTAAAACCCCATTTCCTTAGGCATGCATCTCTTTATAAAGAGCCTAAGTAAGTGGTCCACCATAGAATAGAACACTCACTGGTCCACCATACACTGTCAGCAAGTTTCTTCCGCTTGAAATGATGGTTCCAATTGCTCTTGAAGTGTTGTATGCACCACCTCTGTGGCCACTTCCAGGCTGGATCCAACCCCAAGAGGGCAACTCTTATCCTGGCTAGGCGATTAGAGATAATTGTCAGGTTGGTCCTTGTGGTGACGTGGAGGTGAATTTTTCAGAAGAACCATGCATAGATAGATGTATTCTCTCCTTCTACAAGGGAGATTGCTAAGGGAAAGACATGTATGTTTTCATCTGCTCCACCAGCAATCTGGAGACAGCCCTTGTATTTGCCGGTAAGGAATGTTCCATCCACTTGCATCACAGGGACACAGAAGCCAAAACCATCAATAGATGGCTTGAAAGCCCAAAAAAGACGTTTAAAATGGCGTTTGTTACCGGGATTCGGAGGCTAGATCTCTTCATCTTGGTAGCGAGGGGAGAAAACAGTGCCAGGGTTAGACACCTCCAATTCCAAAATCAATCTGGGTAGGAATGCATATGATTCTTCCCAGTCATCATAGATGGCAGCCATGGCTTTCTGCTTTCAATGCCATGCCTTTTTATAGTTTTAATATATTCATACTGACTAGAAATGTCGGCGATGATGGCTTTAACCTTCAGGTCGGGCTGTTGCTCAATTAGATGCTTGATAGTCGCGACAATTTCTCTGGACTTCAACTATCGATGGCCTTGTGATGTTATGGATGAAACACATGTGTGAGTGTTCACCACACCGGATATGACCCAATGACTGACTCTCTTGCTGTTGATGGTAAGGACCCTAGCCTTTCATCCCTCATGTTGATTTCGACATCTAACAATGAGCCTGTTCGGGTTGGAATGAGTTGTACGCCATTCAAAACTCTGAGTCATTGCTTCAGTCTCAATAGCGTGTCGCACCTCCTTCTTCGAACCAAATTGGTGGCACTTCGTAAACCCAGTGAGTAGACCCCATAATGGCACCTCTTGCGACTCCATGTCAGCGTCGACATACTTATTCCCGTTTGGAATGTGACTGTAATACGTGATAGGTACACGGTCACAAGACACATCATCATCATTTGAGTCTGACTGTGGGTCTGAATCATCAGCACCTTCAAGAGGGTCGGAGTTGTCTGCACTAAGATTGCCTTCTTCTTCTTCTTCTTCTTCGGAGGGGTCACTAACTGGTGTCGGCAAGACATCTTCCATCTGATCCAGATCATGAAATGCACCTTCATCAGCTCCATAATGGTAGTTGTGAAAACTACCACCGCCTGAATGGAAGTTGTACTCGGGTTGGTACTAGTAGCCTTCTTCTTGGTTATCATGGTACTGTTGGACTTCTTCTTCATATGATGGGAATGATTGATGATGACCTTCACTTCCTTCTTGGTACTCATGGTAGGAATGAGGATCATGATAACCTTGATAGGGATGATCTTCATATACTCCACCTCCACCATGGTAATAAGATGTTTGGCCATATCCATAATGACCTCCACCGCCTTCGACCGCCTCGGTGTAAACGAACATTCTGCTTTGTAAAGATTATTGGCGTTAAAAAATTCAAGCATGACATCTACTTCAGCCTGAGTGGTTATGAGGAATTCCTTATACCACAACGACCTGCCATGTCTGTTTGGATGTCGATACACCATACGATCCACTCTCCCGTGCCATCCATGCAAGTAATCATAGTACACATTTGACGGAGCTCTTCAAGGTTCGGTCTCGTAGCGACCTTCACTTTATGAAAATTACCAACGACGTAACGTACCCCCTTTTCGGTCTCTTCCGTGTAACCATTCCACCGTAACCTAAGCGTGAACTTTCGGAATGCCATCTGCAATAAAATCGTAATTTAGTTAATATCATAAAAATCACAAATGAAAACAAAAATTTATACAAAATAAACTTACGAAGTAAGCTTAATCTCAAAAAATTCTAAACGCAGTAGGGTGCACAACAGTTAATTGAAGAAGAATAAGGAGATGTGTGAAGAGCTGAGGTTTTCGTGGCTGCCTTTTATTGCCAAAATCATCATTGAAACCGCAGGGGGAGGGGGCGGTTTTCATCTGCCATGCAGCCCCATGTCTGTGAACCCATGCATGGCGACATGTCGGGTGTCGGGGAATAATTTGCCGACACACAAACCGCGCCCCCAAAGGAGCGGTTCTACATGAGCATCTAAAACCGCCCCTTGGCAGAGCAGTTTCTGTTAGGGCAGCTGAAAAACTGCTTGTCGAGGAAGCGGTTTCCTCAGGGAAATAAAACCGCCTCCTCATAAAGCAGTTTGTGCAAGAACCGCCCCTCCCAGTGGCAGTTTGTGGAGAATGGTGTTACTTTTGGAATTTGTCTTGTTTGGGTGGTATTTTTGTAAAAAAATTTAACCGTGTTATTTTTGGATTTTTTCCCCTGATGGTGGGGTGGGAGGCTATAGGAGTTTGATAGATATATTAGTTATATTTGATTAATTTTTATGTAAATCTCAATAACATTTAAATTAGCATCTTTTTGCTTTCTATTATTTGTTTCTAAGGAATAGGGTGATCCAACCAAAGTTTACGGTAGTATAGTGGAGAGGAAACGACAGTTTTGAACTGACGTTTATGGTGAGTGTTCTCGGTCATTTTGTTTATGAATGTTTGTGGGTATTTACAAATCAATAAAGTACTTATTTTCTCAAATTACACTTCCTAATTTCATATTAGTTTGACTCTTATACATTCACGTCGGCTTTATTATCATGTCATTTTTTTATTTTTATGTTTCTCCACAAATAAAAATAACCAAGTATATAAATAGTAGTTAGTAGGGTTTTGAACCCACAAACTTGAAATCTTACGGTATAGTTTGTTAAGGTATTAAACTATTGAGACAATTAGCGAAAATTTATTTGATGGTATCAGGTCATTGATCACAACATGATTAGTACTATCGTATTCATAATATTTTCACTCTATCAATAAAACCAACATTAGATAAAAAAATTAGTTAAACTCAATGAGTCATATACTAAAAAAATACAAATTTAATATAATAAACAAAGATATCAGGATATTAATAAATTCAATTTGATTTAAATATTATATAAAATAATTAATAAAAATATTTATCCGGCAATGACCTGGAATAAAGATAGTTAAATTATCAAAGGCAGTTAAAAATGAAGGAAAATACTTCCTAACAAAATAATAAAGAGATTCTCGGCCGAGAATCCTTTAATCTCTGTTTCCTGCGCTCTGCGCAATCCAGGGGAGGAAAATTTGGTAAAATGGATCCGTGCAATTGAGTTGGGCCGTGGGCCAGTTTACAAACCCAATATGTTGGAATCGCTGGTAGAGAATGGATGGATGAATGGGCCCTCCCTCAAGGCCCATTCCAGCTCCTAACACTAGCAACGTCGACTTCTCTCCCAATTGACGGTGGTTGTCTCTCTACTGCTGTCTTTCGCGTCCGGTCGGATTTTCAACATCGACGGTGCCTATCTCTCTCTTGTTCCTCTCTCGTTGCCATCCGGAATCTATCACTAGCAGCGTCTCCCTCTCTCCTGATTGGCGGTCCCTATCTCTCTCTTCCCGTCTTCCACGTCCTCCGCCTTTGTCGCTACTAGCTGGATTTTTCACATCGCAGTTGCAGAGATTAATCCCTTCCTTAGTGCGAGTGCGGAAGGCTGAGTGCGAGTGTAACGGCCCACCGTACCTCACTCCCGCGTAAAAGCAATCGCGTTGCCTCTGTAAGTTCACCCTCTTTCTAATTTGGCGATTGGAGGGCAGCTGGAAACTGAAGGATGGAAGCTTGAAGCCGACGTCAAAATTGGATGTGGGCTCGATTCAATTATGGTAAGATTTTGTTTGTGATTGATTCTCTCGATCATAAACTGCACTATCTTCAGAACTTAGCTATGCCCTCCATAGAACTACATAAAGCTTCTTATAGTGCTACCTGCTTCGGTTTTACATAAAGTACCATTTATTTATTTGCCTCTTAGGAAACCCAGTTGGTTTGCCATGTTGAAGACGTTTGAGACTCCAATGTCTCTTGCACTTGCTTTATGTGTCTTTATGTGTTCTAGCTCTGTGGTTCAAACTTCAGAGATGGCTATGGACAGTTGATCATATCTCTCAGCTTGATTTATACCCTCTTTCTAATTCGGCATTGGCTGTCTGGAATGGCGGTGTTTTTGTAGCTTCAAATTGAGAATTAACGGCTGAAAGTTTGAAACTGTTGGGCCCATAGTTGAGCAGTGTTGGGCTTAAGCCCCATAGGGAGAAGACCAGGCAGGGCCCGAAGAAGGGACCGAGCCACAACGAGAGGCCCAAAAGAGTGGACATGGGGAAAGGAGAATGGCAGGCGGTCGCCCTATGACGGGACAAGGAGTAGGCCGCCTGACACAAAGTACCGTTGGTGTCAGGAAGAGAAGATCCTCCTAGGATACTTACCTCGAATACTGCAGGACTAAGCACTAAATGCTCGCCGCGGGCGGTCTAGATAAAGCAATGCGCATCTAGGCCGCCTGACATGGCATTTAATGCCTCATACTCAAGCTAGTCGGCTATAAATACATTTGTGCATGCATTAATGGTAACTCAACTACTCTCTCTCTCTAAACATAAACAAAAACCCTTATTCTATCTCTAACTGTAGCATCGGAGGGGTCTGGGGTGACCGCCCACGGACCCTTGTTTTGTAGGAGCTTTGGAGTACACCCACCATCTGGAACAGACGCCTTGTTCGTTCTTCACAAACAGCCTGGAACATTCCAGGCTCAAACAATTTGGCGCCCACCGTGGGGCGAGCATAGCGCTGAAGAAAGGATGGATGGGAGCTCCAAAACCCCCATCAAAGTCATAGTAGAAAGGAGCAACCTCCGCGGCCAGGAGGCGCCGATGAGCGACATCCGTGGAATGGAAATGCCAACAGTGGAGGAAGAAATTGAAATGGAAGACCGCGTCAAAAGTCAGGGACAACAAATATCAAGCATGCAAGAGAGTTTGAGCCAAATCTTGGCCATGCTCAAAGAAAAGGGAAGCGAAGCACCGGAAAGCTCAGGAAAGCGTGTGGCCAGGGGAAAGGGAAGAGAGGAAGACCCCAACAGCCCTGCTCAGACAGAAGGCGGGGAGTCAGACAAAGAAGAAGGAACATAAGATCTCAGCTTAGGATTCTTGGAGGAGCATCTTAAGCCCTCGTATGGAAAGGTAAAGGGTCACAACATCCTCCAGAACCCACTAGCTAAATGCTTATTTAAAACTCAGGTTCCCCCAAACTTCTCGTCGCTCGGGCTGCCAACGTACAATGGAAGTTCCGATCCCGCCGACCATTTGAGCGCTTTCATTCTGACCATGCAGCTCATCAAAGCCACAAACGCCGATCTGTGCAAGGCGTTCCCAGTCACGTTTAGCGGTCATTGCCGAACTTAGTACACCTCCCTGCCCGAGGGTATAATTGAAAACTTCGAGCAGTTTGCCACCCTCTTCTCCTCAAAGTTTGCGTCCCAGCGAAGAAGGAAGCTGACCGTGTCAGCGCTCATTAATTGCAAGCAGGGAGGAGATGGGTCGTTGGCGGATTTCTACGATAGGTGGAACACTATAGCTTGCGAGGTATAGGGAATCTCGCCAAGCGTGGCAATAGGGAACCCGCGCATGTCGACGCATAGTTGCAAACTTCGAAGGGCGCTCATCAAAAAAGAACACGCCCTGAAAGAGTGGCCCGACCTAGACCGCTTAGTAAGGAAAGCAATCCTGTTGGAGGAAGCCATGATCATTGAAGATGCCGCCAAACGTGTCAACCCAAGAGAAAGGTCGGACAAGAAGAAGGGAGGATCGCCTAAAATAAGGGGAATGATAGCAACGAAGAGGGCAGAGACAGGGGGAATGACAGCAATGCGCACCAGACGCATAGGAGGGAGGAAGATCAAAAATGGTGCGACTGGCACCAGATGCCCGCCCATGACACCACAGAGTGTTGGGAATTCAAAGCTTGTTTAAAGTACTTGGCGCCCGGAGACCTTAAGAGTCGCCTGGATACGAGACCGCATCGTCAGGAGCAGAGGCACCACAAAGAAAGGTCGCCAAGCCCAAGAAGGAGATCGCGTACGCCTAAGCGCAGAAGATCAAGATTGCAAAGAAGAGATCGATCCCCCAGACGCGACCGCTTACCGCCGCTGCCCAGGAGATCACCTCCCCATCGACAACCGCGCATTAATGACGACGACGTGGAGGTCATAACCATCGTGGACGGTCGCAAGAGGCCCAGAAGTGAGGGAGAGCGCCTAGTTCCATGCTTGAACGTTCATAAGAGCGAGCAAGTGGACATCAGTTTTTCGCCCTCCAAACTGGCCCCTGACGAGAGTGGAGAAGATCCGTTGGTCATCTCCTTAAGAACAAGGAAATTTAAAATCACTAGAGCGTTAGTCGATAACGGTAGCTCAGCGGACATACTGTTCTACTCCACCCTCAAAAGTATGAAGATGAGCATGCAAGATCTCAAGCCCTCCGCGACAAGCCTAGTAGGGTTCTCGGGATCGAAGATCAGGGTGTTGGGCTTAATCACCTTGCAGGTGACAATTGGAGAAGCAGACGTAACGAAGACCCGTTCCATGGACTTTCACGTGGCGGACTGTCCATCGGCATACAATGCGATCCTATGACGTGGTTTTCTATCGTTGTTCTCCGCGGTCCCGTCCACTTGGCACCAGATGCTTAAATTCCCAATAGGCGGAAGAGTGGGACGGGTCAGAGGAAACACTGAGCAAGCGAAAGAGTGTTACCAGGCAACGATAGAAAGCTTGGAGGTTGACCTGGTGGACACCCGAGGAGGACATCCCCGGCGAGAGGCGCTCGAAGAGGACGCGGAGGTAGTGCTCGACGACGAGGAGCCTGGGAAGAAGGTAAGAATCTCTTCCCACCTAACAGAGGAAAAGGCAAGAGAGCTCGTGGCACTCCTCAAAGAGTACAAATACCTATTTGCATGGACCTCAGAAGACATGTCGGGCGTCTTAAGGGAGCTCGCCGAACATCACCTGTCGATGAAAAGAAAATCGAAGCCCATTCAGAAGAGGAGAAGGAATGCGTCCCTCAAGAAGCAAATGGCGTTAGAGGAAGAAGTAAGGCGGTTACTCAAATCCGGCTTCATAAGGGAAGTCAAGTATCCAACTTGGCTGTCAAACCCAGTGTTCGTCCGCAAGGCCTCCGGACTATGGCGAATATGCATAGATTTCACAAATCTCAACGTGGCCTGTCCAAAAGACGCATACCCTCTATCAAGAATCGATCAACTAATAGATGCAACCGCCAATCATGAGAGTCTGAGTTTCCTAGACATGTTCTCAGGATACCATCAGATCCGCCTATCTGAGGAAGATCAGGAGAAGACCGCCTTCATGACCCACATGGGAAACTTCTGCTACACGGTCATGCCTTTTGCGGCTAAACCCACTCAAATGCGTGTTTGGCGCAAAGGCGGGGAAATTCTTGGGATTCATGACCACCAGCAGGGGGGGAATAGAGGCAAACCCAAAGCAGATAGAAGCCATCACAAGCCTGAGACTGCCTCAGACTGTCAGGGAAATTCAAGCATTCAACGGGAAAATGGCCGCCCTAAGCCGTTTCATTCCAAGGGCAGCAGACAAATGCTCTCTCTTTTTCCAGATGCTGAAGAAATCAACATCTCTTTCTCAGTGGAATGCAGAGTGTGACAAAGCTTTCTTCCAATTGACAGAACAACTAACTTCACCTCCCATGCTGAGCGCCCCGCGACAAGGTGAGCCCTTGTATCTTTACTTGGCGGTCTTAGATCAAGCGGTTAGCTCGGTTTTGGTGCGAAGAGATGGAGATGGCTCAGATCATCCCGTCTACTACGTAAGCAAGGCGCTCCTCCCGGCAGAGAGGCGTTACATGCCCATCGAGGGAGCGGTCTTGGCAGTTGTGTAGGCCGCAAGGAAGCTCCGCCCCTATTTTCAAGAACATCAAGTGATCATTCTCTCAAACCTCCCACTAAGGAAAATCCTGAAGGGGATGGACGTGTCTGACCGAATGACCAAGTGGGCGGTCGAACTCAGCGAGTATGACATTGCGTACGCTCCACGACCTTCTATCAAAGGACATGTGTTAGCAGACTTCATTGCCGAAGGATTCAGTTTGGAAAGCACAAAAGAGAAAGAAGAGGCAGAAGTGTGGCGTCTCTTTGTCGATGGGGCTGCCTGAAAAAGGGGAGTAGGAGCTGGAATCATCATTGAAACGCCCACAGGGGTGGTGCATGAAATCTCTCACAGATTCCTCGAATTGAAAACCAACAACGTAGCAGAGTATGAAGCGCTCCTCAGTTGGTTGAAGATTGCGGTCAACATGGGAGCATCTCGCTTGCACATCTACTCTGACTCATTGTTGGTAGTTAACCAAGTTCTGGAAAGCTATGAGGTGAAGGAGGAAGCTCTTGCAAAGTTAGTGGGGAAGGTAAAAGGAGCCTTGTCGCAGTTAGATTTCTGGAAACTGGAGCATGTGAAAAGATAAGACAATCACCATGCGGATGCCCTATCCAAATTAGCAACCGCCATGGATTTCGAAGGGGAGCGCCGAGTAACTGTGACAAAGGAAGCGGCTCAAGCATACGAAGTAATGGCCCTAGAGGATGAGAGCCGCGATTGGCGGTCTCCTTTGGTTGACTACTTGCAAAATGATGTCGTCATAGAAGATGCAATTTTGGCCAAGGCATTGAGAAGAAAGGCGGCCCACTACACCCTGGTAGAGGGACGGCTGTGTAAAAGGTCTTTCTCAGGGGAATATATGAAATGCCTTGGTCCAGAAGAAGCAAAATGGGTGGTGAAGGAAATTCATCAAGGCACGTGTGCAACACACTTGGGACCGAGAAGCCTCGAGAGGACAGTGCTGCTTCAGGGATACTATTGGCCAATAGTGAAGAAGGACACAATGGAGGCGGTCCAGAAGTGCCACGAGTGTTAGATCCATGCTAGCAAGCAACACTTGCTAGGCGAGCAGCTGAAGAGCATTACAGGGCCATGGTCATTTGCACAATGGGGTCTAGATCTCCTGGGACCTTTCCCTACAGCTCCTTTGGAAAATAAGTACTTAGTGGTCGCAGTTGACTACTTTACAAAGTGGATCGAAGCTGAACCGTTTGACACAATCACCAGTGCCAAGATCCAGAAGTTCTTATTCAACAACATAATGATCAGGTTTGGAACACCTCACACTATTATAACTGATCACAGAACATAGTTTGATTGCAGACCATTTGAGAACTTTTGTGCCCGGAACCGCATCACTTGCAAAATGGCATCCGTGGCGTTCCCTCAAGCCAATGGGCAAGTGGAGTCGTCCAATAAGCTAATCTTGCGAGGTCTGAAGAGAAGGTTGAAGGAAGCAAAAGGAGGATGGACCGCAGAATTTCCCCACCTTTTATGGGCGCACCGTACAAACTATAAGCAGGTCACCGGGGAGACACCATTTGCTCTGACATATGGTTCAGAAGCTGTCGCACCAACAGAGTTAGCCTGTCGTCACTCCGCCTCCAGGCCTATGACCCAGAAGATAATCACAGGAAGCTGCTGCACCAACTGGACATGATTGAAAAATGAAGGGACGCCGCTCTAGTCAGAACTCTTGAAGGGAAGCTGAAGATAGCAAAGGTGTACAATGCCAAGGTGAAGCCCAGACCGCTGGAGGAGGGTGACATGGTCCTAAAAAGAAACTTTGAGCAAAAGGAGGGACACAACAAGTTGGCGGCCGCATGGGAAGGGTCGTACCTCATCGGGGAGAAGCTAGGAGCAGCAACATACATACTAGCCACGATGGGAGGGAAGCCAGCAGCAAAAACCTGGAACGCCATTCACTTGAAGAAGCATTTTGAAGAATGATCCAAGGATGAAGGAAGTCGCTGACTGCTGAGTCTTTTGAGATGGACGTGTATTGATAGTAAGCGTCTACTTTTGGGGAGAGATCCCATGTAGAGCCACCACTGCCAGTCGTGGTGGCCTTAAATTTCAAAGTTATGAAAAAACGCCACATAGTGTTCATCTTCTCAATTCATCTAAGTGCTGGGTATCAAAATTGTTCAAACAATTAGAATCTGCCACGGAGCGATAAATCGTAAATTAACCGCCTCCGAGCATAACGCTTCAAAGCAAAACATAAAACTGCAAATTGCTCCTAAGCGTTAGATATAATATACAACCGCCACAGGAAAAACCGCCTCAGAGCCTAACGCTTCAAAGCAACTAACTAAGCGTTGTATTCGAAATATGCGCCCACTTCAAACTATCAACCATTTCCAAACGATTGGCCAAATCCCAGAATTTGCGAAGAGATAAAAGCGTAATTAATAAGCATGCCATAAAGGGCGCCCACAGGGGACGTCCAAAAATATTCGCTGGCGAAGCAGACTTAGTTTGCAAGGAAGGGAAAGAGGAAACAAAGGTAAAACAACAAGTTCATTGGCGGCTCAATTCAGCCCTGGTGGCCATCTCCTTCAGCCTTAGCAGTCGTATCGGGAATGTTGGCGGTTGGTTCAGCGGGCACCTCGAGGGTAGCAGCATGCTCAGAGTTGACATCATCGTCACCCCAAAACTCGACCGCGTCCCATATAGCGTCAGTATCCCATACGACCGCAGGATGCTCACGACGGAACCAGTGGCGGATGGTAGTCACAGTGTCACGTAGCAGCTTCTGGTACTTCTTGTCGTCG